ATCTGTAGGGATAGTTCATTTTTTATCTGACAGAGGGATGTAAAAGAGATCAATATTATGTATGTTAGTGTGTGTTGCCGTGCACATGAAGACACACGAATACAAACATTATCTGTATGAAACAAAGACTGCACAATAGAATTTGTATAGGAGAAACATCTAAAGTGCAGCACGCAAAGAACAAACTGAAGCAGAAATGGAAAGGAAACAGGAAACAAGTCTCGCTCAAGGACAATTCTCGCTCTGAAATCTCATGAGAGAGGAGTTGTTGCAGGAAACGACGGTGGAAAAAAGGGAGAGGAGTTTGTTATGTACATAAAGGAAGTGCTAGCAAGACTTTATTTCCTAACGTTACTCCAACATAACAAACTCCTCTGTCCAACTCTGTTTCACGTTTCCACCCTTGTCTTCCTGCGACAACTCGCCTCGCAGGATTTAAAGAACAAGAATTGACCTTGTTAAAAACAAGGGTGTCTAAAGCCATCTACTGCTCGGATTTCAAAACTTTTTGTACCTACTAATCATTTGGACACAAAAATATGTGAAAATAGGGCCCAGGGTATACTGAAATTATTCTTTAAGTAAAGCATGGTGAAATCTTTCACTAAAAGCAACTGAAAAGTCGCATGAACACTAAGCTTACAATGATAATGGTATTTTATTAGTACTATTTTTATAGCCAATTAAAACTGTAATTATATTTACTGATATAACAAGACAGCAATGAACCTAACTATAACATTTCCTAACAGTATCAAAAAACAAGGCTGCACAGCAAAAACAAAAACAAAATTCCTACATTTTTAAATACGTATCTGTATCAGTTTTGTAGCCTTTGACATCATGGGAATAAAATAAATATGTAGTTTTTCAATTAAATAACATGAATCATTCACTTTTTTACTGCCTTTTTGTCAATGGGCTGTAGCCTCACTTAGAAATGAACCACACGCCTGTTTTCTCTGTTGCTTAGAACTGCCACTATTCTGCTTCTTATGTGAAGGTATCGGGTCGGGATGCAGCTACGTGCATGCTCCCGAGCCTCTCTCTGACTACAGCAATAGCACCGCAGCTAACGACACGCAGTTCACTCACAACACAAAACGACCGGCTCCCACCACAACGCAGACTCCAACATAAACAACAACAATAAAGGTTTATGTTCTGAAGCCTGTCAGGCCAAACAAGAATCACGTGATGTGAAAACACAGTCATCATCAGAAAGGCTAAGCTCGTCAGTGAACGCCAACTAGTTGCCAACATTATGCGTTGCAAAATGCTGCTTGCTGAACTTAACCACTTGTCTGTCAGGAATTTACTGGTAAGTCCCGAATTTAACTAAATGAAAGAATAAAGCACATCAGGGCTATTAGGTTTTATGATGTGTTACGTGATGCCACCACTGCTCATTTTATAATCATGTATTCATGGCAAAATATGATACAGTAGCGTTCTCAAATGAGTGTAGTCTGTAAATCAGCGTGTGTGCGTCCCTGTGGAGGTCAGCTAATCTGTCTTCCACTGTGAGGCTCACTCCAGAGGTAGTAGTAGGCAGGAAGCACACACACACACACACAGATACCTAGCCTTTTCTCATCACCATGTGAGGATCCACAGGGAGGGGAAGTAGGGTGACATGCTACAGACTCCCTGCTACCCACACCTGCCTTCCGCTTCAGGCTGCAGACACCCAAACACACACACACACATACACACACACACTCACACACATAGTGGGACGCATCTAATTTCATATAAAATGCCACATTGGTTTGCTTAGTTTTTCCATCTAGGTTACTTTGTGGTGTGTGGGTTTATTTGAGGAGATTTTGAAAAGAAGATTGCAAATGAGAAGGATAAGAAATGTCAAGGCTATTTCAGTGGGCCATTTATGTCAAGTTTAATGTCCACAAACAGTAGAGTTATATGGTAGTTTCAACAGCACTGGACTGAAATATGTTCTACACATTAATATACTCTGCATTTTTTCAGCAGATTCAGATGGTTGACATGTTGGTGATGTAGGTTAGGCGAAGGTGTTGGTTCTATTTAAATTACTGAAAATCAGCCGTGTAACGTAATTGAGTACATTTACTCAAGAACTAGTGCTTATCACTATTTCCATTTTATCCCTCTTTACATAAAAGTAAATTATCTATAATAACCTATGACTCTCTGTATAATGATGTAATAATATAGGATGATAGATAAAACTACCAAACATTATTTAAAGTAGATCAAATTTGCTGCCCCTCCTGCATACATCATTAAATGCTGCTGGATGTCTTGTGCATCATTATATACTAATTTCCCCAAAACTGAGCCATTAGGTATCTTTGGACGCTTTAGGATTGTGTTTAGCATTTTTTTAATAAAGTAAATAAAGTTCTCTGTGTTAGGCTTTTGGACGCAGGACTTGTATTTGGGTATTTTAAACTGGACTCAAGTAAAGAATCTGAATACTTCTTCCTCCACTGCTAGAAGTGAAACCTTCACTCTGTTGTGCTTTTCTCCTCACCATTCCTGAGTCAGAAATCTAGCTTCTTGATTTTGTGCCTCCTTTTGGTAAACCTTTTGTGATGAGAAAACAATATCCTTTTTTTGTCAAAATGTATCTCCCAATATTTGGAAGGTTTGCAGCCTGTTTTAGATTCAGATATGGCATCTTCAGTGGTATCTGTCACCCAACCTAATGATTCAAAAGCCATCAGTTTCCGCAGAGCATATTTAACATATGACACTTTGTGGGCCCTTCCATCTAATGTGGTTTACAGCAGCAGGAGTGCATACATCTTGAGTATGGGTGGCCCCAGTGGGAAGTGAAGCTCATATCCTGACAGTGCTGGTGCTGATATATGCTCTACCGACCAAGCTACACAGAAAATGAAATCCCTAACCTTGGCAGCTTTAGTGCTAGGCCCTACTCATTGAGCTCCATGGGAAATTGAGTTTCTAACCCTGGCAGATAGCTGTGCTTATAGCTCTACCCAAAGGGCTGCAAAACTGCAGAATTTCAAAAGATAGATCACACTGTAATTCTTTTGGCTGTGTAGAGAGTCAATGGGGTCACCAAGACTAAAAATACATATGCACTTGTGTTGTTATTAAGCATTTTTAATAAATTTAGATGCACCAATTGCAATTTTCTTGGCCGATTAAATTTTTTTTAAAGCCGAATGGACCTATCGATTCTGATTTTGGCCGATTTTCTTTCTTTCTAAGAACTATATTTGACACTTTTATTTTATGGAAAATTATTCGTTTGTTAGAGCTACAAATAAAATGGAATGGTGTATTTGTATATATTATGTAAAAACGTTTAAGAGAATACAAATTAATTCCTCTGCAAAGTGCTAAAATGAGTCGTTAAATATACTGTGGTAACCATTAACGTACCTGGGCAGCCTACTAAAGTCTGTGTGGGAATGGTTTATTTTGGCCATACAGGTATTAACAAATTCATTAAAAAAATGTGCCCATTTCTTATGAGATCTGATGTTGTATGTTTAGTGGTATTTTTTATGGAATATGGTTTTTGGTTTGCTTGGTAAAATGTTGCATTATTTTGTTTAATTGTTTTGAGAAGTGGTATGATTTGCAAGTCACAAGTCATGCATTTTACCCACCCATCAATCAATATATTCTACATTGTTATAAATATACAGCACTGTGACTTTCTTTGAGGATTATATACAAACTGTATGGTTGACAAAAATTTGTCAAAACCCTAATGTAGATTTTTCCAAAAGCTATCATGTGAGAGTAGTGGTTATCTTGTTCATCTTCTCCTGTCTCACATTGCCAGCATTTGAAGGGAGGAATTGAGAAGGCAGTGGAGAGAGGTCTCTGGGTCATTGGTAAAGTGAAAAATGATCCGCTTACATCTGTGCTAACATTGCCTGAAAAGATTGGGGGCAGATTGGACAGAGCTTTTCGCATTAGAAAGACCAGCTCACCTACTCTAAGATGTAGGGCAGGACCACTCAGGAGATAAAGTCACTGTCAGTGTGGTAAAAGCCAGCGGTGACACCACAGACAGCACTTCAGCACTATCTCTAGATTATTTTCCAGTCAGTGAGAGAGATTTCCAGTCTTGCAGAGCCCAGGGAAGCACCTGTAATCCAAGTCACTGTAGCAATGATCAGACTCTTCACAGCTGCACTTTAATTAAAGTGCAGCTGTGAAGAGTAAATTTGTTTATCTTGTTCAGTACAGACAGTAGCTGTTTTGTGGGGATGAAACAATGAATGAATTAAGAAAGTACAGTAACTCTGTACTTTAAAATGATAAGATCACATATTTCCCGGGAAGGTCTTCATTTTAGCATCTTTCAGGCTTTGAAAGTAGGGACCTCTAGGAGCAGTCGAGTTGCATTGTGGGTAATGTAGGTACCAGGTTTGGAGTGGGGAGTTTATCATGTGTGTATATATACATATATATATATATATATAGATATTAACTCAACATGACTGTGTGGAAGTGGTGATCTGGCAACAGTAAACTAACTTACTACTGTAACTGCCATCAGATTTTGATTCACATTTAGCCAATTCTTGATTTGTGCATGGGAGTAGGTGACATCAATTTATTGAAATCTCTTATGGAAAATAACTCCACTGTTCACAGTGAGAAGCTCATTGAGAAATAAGCAATCAGGGCCTTTAAGAGTTAGTTTTTGGTTAATATAAGGGTTAAGGTTAGGAAATGCATCATCATCACTGAGGGTCCTCACAAATACAACAGAGCAAGCGTGTGTGTGTGTGTGTGTGTGTCATTTCTTGTACCATTACTAGCATGTGCCTTCTGACTCTATATGACAACAGATAAAATACTGACACAGGTGCTTACATGAAAGAACAAATCAGTATGTGATCTGGCTATACACTCTGTCATAATGCTTACGCATACTGTACTATTCTTAATAATAACTTCATTTTCTTCTCTGTCTCTCTCCGTTTCCCCCTCCCTCCCCTTCTCTTCCCTGCTTCCTGAAACAACAGATCACTTGGGCATCGAGTTTATGGGTAAGGAAGCTTTTCATGTCTTTGCAACTGCATGCGTCATGCGTCTGATTGTTTACATACAGTACATGCATTGTTTATTTACAACCATAAAATCCTCTATCTCCGTGCACATGCTGCACAGCAGTCCTTTGAAATATTAGCCACTGTCTAAATCTCTCTCTACGCTCTCTACACGTTTGTATTTACCTTCTGTGCCATCTCTATCTTTATGCATTCTTTTTCTCTTGCGCTCCCCCTCTCTTTCTCTCACAATTGCTTATGAAGTGTCCCTTCAGAATACCAATGGGCTGCAGTATCCTTGGAAACAGTGAGAACTGAGAGGAAGGCAGGGTACAGTGAGGGAGTTTTTATGATGTTGGCACTGCTAACAAATGCACTCCTCATTAGTAAGTGTGTGTATGTGTGCACATGCATGGCACATGTTCAAAAGTGTGTTTCTGAAGTCCTTAATTTTTACTTGTGTGAGTTTGATGAGATTCTTCCAGTGATTGTGTGTTGAATGTTTGTGTGTTTCCCGTGCACATGCCTACGAGGCTGTGCAGGGTGGATGCCAGCAGCTCCTCCTCTTCGTTGCCAAGCTCCCCTCTCCTGTTCTTGGCTCTCCTCGCAGGCTCTGTGTCGGGTATCACAGCTGAGGAGCGCTAGTTAACGACATGGAAGCTTGTTGTTAACCAGAGCCACTCACTCTCTCAGTCGGTATAATTTGGGCCCTTTCCACACGGACAGGTTGGAAAAGCAATGGATCATCTAGGAAAATGGCCTCCCCCTGGTTTGACATCCCTACATTCTCAAAGTAAAATTTCACAGGAACAAGCAGTGCCATGCTTCTTTTTCTGCTGCACAACCACTGCATTTGCAGTGAAATGAACAGAAGCTTTTTCAGGAAACTTGCTGAGACTATGCAAACTTGGCAGTGACAGATGATCTTTTCCACAGAGCTGTCTTGCAGGTTTTCCCATTTATATTCAGTGAGAGATTTTATGCCTCGGCAACATTGTTCAGGCTGCCACATTTTCTTTGCCTAGCTAACGTCTCTAGTCCTGCCAATGTCTTCTCCAGCATTGTGTTAAGCAGTGCACAGATAGATAAGCACCTCCCACACTCAACTCTAGTTTGTTAATGTCTGTGACTTTGGAAGGATTTTTCCTGAGGAAAATAAATAAAAGGCTTACATACCAAACTACTGAAACTCATCTATTACAAATGTTTGTTATTAATTCAATTAAGTAAATACATATTGTACAAAGAGGTTTACTTGTGAAAAAACAAATCAAGCCTTCATTTTGAACTAGAATTAATATCAATATAGTGTATATAAAGATTGTCCTTGTTCCATGCAATATCCTGTTTCTGTTTATAGCAAGTGATGCCATGTCATTATTTGGGAGGATCCTTGTCATCCACAAATTGATAAATTTTCATTCAGAGACACTTACGTAAGGAACTGACTATTTTTAGCAAATTGTTATACAGTTATATTTGGCGGAAAATGCTCTGCTCCTTGCTTTCAAAGAATCAGAGCTGCAAATAGGATTCTGCTGCGAGAACAAATCCCCCTTATATAAACACATACATGAACATTTAATTATAGTAACGCCAACTAAACACAATGCTTAACGCATAAGTTTATGGTGACGGCCGCAGCTGCAGCAGCAAATGGCATTGGCGTGTCAGCAGAGTAGTCAGTAGTGGTTTTACTTACATACGGTGGGAAAATGTTTTTTAACACCTTTGAATATATTGCAGTCCAGTACAACACCACAACTAACCGTGGCCTCAATACTAAAATGTATAATTTAATTAACACCTCTATGACAGAGTCAACCAAAACTGAACATTATAGGTATCATAAAAGTACATTTTATGGCAGAACAGATATATTGGATTTAGGGCTGACCCCGAATAGTCAAAGATTCAATGCTTCGATGGGCGGAGCCTGCGCAGCGAAACAATGATCATGCCATATTGGCGATATGGGGGAGCTCAACATCTGATTTTACATAGAACTACCAGTTTTCTTCCAATACGTTAATATACAGCCTATTATAATTTACATGTCAAAGTTTAATGCTGGAAATAAACATGTAAAAATAATAAAACTTTCAATAAATATTTTTAAAGTGCGTAAATAAATCCAGAATTGTAACCCTAACCCCGGGTCAGTGCGCATGTGTAGGTGTAGCGTGTATGTGAGTAGTTGGCGAAGAGGAACACTTGCTAAAGAGACGGAGCTCCAGCTTCACTGGTGTTGTCCCGAGTTGTCTGAACCTCGCGGGACTTTCGGGTAATTCATCACTGTTGATGAACCACAGAAAGAATATTTTATCGTTTGTAATTAGCAGGCTACTTGAAATAGACCCTTGAGGAACCGCGACATGCATGCAGTTGTCGGCAGCACAGAATGCACGCAAAACTCTGCAAAAGACCGGTGAATGGTAGGCGAGAGAGAGAGAGAGAGAGAGAGAGAAAAGGGTCTTCAATAAGCCTCACCTCACCGCGTACAAAAGCACACATGATTCCACTATCAGTCAACTATAGGCAGGACTTGACGATTCTGTTTCGACTATGTAAATCCTTAGTCGGGGACAGCCCTAATTGGATTGCAATAGACAGGATGTGTACCTGATACTAAGTGTAAGACATTCTGTATGTGCATACAATATTTTGATACTGGGTTTAAACAAAATACTCTAATCCCATGGTAGTTATTTTTCACAGACAGCCCTATGCATGATTTATAGAGAATGAACCACCCCTCTCCAGCAGAGTCAGTTTCTGAGGTTAAAATTAGAAAAGAAGTGTCTGATGGTTGAGATCTCTCTCTCTCTCACCCAACATCACCCACCCAAGGCTTAATGAACCAGAGAATATGTTCAAGAATTCTGGGATCCTGCCTTCCTCTTTATATATTTTTCATATTGCGTGGCAAAAGGGGAGACCGTCTCACTGTATCTATTCAGTCACTCATGTGGGCATCAATATTTCCTTTCCATCAGAGATCACTGAGCTCTGACTGCAAGATGTTCCACCTGGTTGTAAATCAATGTTAGAGCAAAGTGTTGCAGGCAGCTATTTTTAGGGTGAGATGGATTTTAAGTCATGTTGATTTTCATTTTCCATCCAGGTGCATTTGTGCCAGAAGGAGGCAGTTTGGCAAACTGAAGCGCAGATGAATGGCTCTAGGTGGACACATGTGTTTTACATAGTGATAAGATTTAGTGACATTTATGTCATTCAGTTGTCTTTTACATGTGGAGGCGAGGTAGAAAAAGTTTTCGACTTTGACAACTTAGGAAGTGAAATGCATCGTGACTACAAAATATTAGGGCTGTGCTGCTCAATGTCAAAGAAGAGAAAGAAGATGAGTAGCAGGAGGGAAGAAAAAAAGAAAGACAGACAGACGTAACGCAGAGTGGGAAGTGACAATCACTCTAGTGTCTTTCTAGAAATCACTTTTCAATCAAAGAGCATCATACTTTTTTGTGAATGAATGTGAATTCCTGGAGGTGCAGCTTTGTTCTTTTTTAAATAAACTGGTACTGCTGTTGCTGGAAACATAAAATGCAGTACTTTCTGCACACAGGTGTATGAAACTTTTCCAGGTGAAGAGATGGTGTACACTAATTTTAGTGAACTCTTAACAAACCTAAGAAGGATTTCACATTTCTATTAGTTTTACAGTATTTGATTAAATCAGAGTGATGAACTTCATACCTTTCACTTTGTTGCAGTGTATAAAAACATTTTTGGGCCTTCTTTTTTGGAAAGCTAGATTCATAGCATGGAAAGCAGAATTTGAAGATCTTGCCACAGCTCCACCATCACCAGAGAATTGTCTCCATTTTTGAGTATTTATTTGCATTATTTATAAAGCACATACAGCACAATACAACACACAGGCTGGTTGCACAGCCCAGTGGCCACAACAGCAAAGGATTGATAGCCCTTGCATTTCAGCCAAACCACAGAACAGCCAAGTGCTTTAGTTCAAATAGCCAGAAACCTGGAGGAGATTCAACAGGTTAAAAGGTCTGAGGCGCAAGATGTGGCATACTAACAGTGTATTTTAAAATCAATTCGATCCCACACTGGAAGCTAGAAATGATACGTCAGCACAGGTGTGACGTTGTCTTTCTTTCTGGTGCCAGTGAGAAGCTGAGCAGCAGCACTGTGACTGCAGGCTAATACCAACATATAACAAGTTACAATAATCTCAGAAGGAAAATAAGGTGTTGATAACCTCTTCCACACCATGGAGCAAGAGAGAAGATGTAAGAAGAAGAAAAGAGTTACAGATACTGTAGAAGGAAAGAAAGAAAATTACCAGCTGGAACAATACACCCAGTCACCTAAATGTATTCGGTATGTAAATGTGCGAATAAAGCCATCCAAGTAATAGAAGAAAGGACCGTGACCAGCCAAAAGAGCATGCTTACTCTAGCACAGCAGACCTGCATAAATAAAGGGTTTTATCCCCCATCAGCAGTCTGCATGGCACATGAAAAGTCTAATGCGCTGAGCTGTGAGGCAATCACTTGAGAATCCCATCCCTCTTTGTCTGCGTCCTGATCTGTCCTCGCACTTGTTATGTCATTCCTATGTCATTCATTCCTGTCAATCACAGCGGCTCTTAGCACAGACAGGAACATGATATACAGTATCTCACAAAAGTGAGTACATTTTTGTAAATATTTGATTATATCTTTTCATGTGACAACACTGAAGAAATGACACTTTGCTACAATGTAAAGTAGTGAGTGTACAGCTTGTATAACAGTGTAAATTTGTTGTCCCCTCAAAATAACACATCACACAGCCGTTAATGTCTAAACCGCTGGCAACAAAAGTGAGTACACCCCTAAAATAAATTGTCCAAATTGGGCCCAAAGCATCAATATTTTGGGGTGGCCACCATTTTTTCCAGCACTGCCTTAACCCCCTTGGGCATGGAGTTCACCAGAGCTTCACAGGTTGCCGCTGGAGCCCACTTCTCCATGACG